CATTGGCTGTATTGGAAGCAATTATGGTCTTTTGGACAAGCCATGGACCAGTTAAGCAATTTATTTCCGACAACGGAACTAACTTCGTAGGAGCCGCTAATATCATTCAAAGTGATGCACGTCAAATAGTTCAATTTCTCAAGGATACACAAAAGGTTCTCGAGAGCGAATTAGCAGCGAAATCGTACGCATCATGGACTTTCATACCTGTTCAATCACCGTGGTTTGGAGCTTTCTATGAACGTCTTATACAAACTGTTAAGAAATCCATTGCATCAGCAATTGAAGGAAGAAAAATCAGCAGAATCTCATTCAACATTGCATTACAGGAAGCAGCTCATCGTATAAATTGTCGACCACTAACGCATAATCCAGTTAGTGCTGAGGAGGAGGAAGTTCTGACTCCACATCATTTGGCAAAGAATAGAAGTGGATGGCCACTATTGCCATCAATTCATAAATATAAAGAGATTGCGGATCCATTAGGAGATCGTGATCAATACAGACGCGGAAGAATATTCGCTGATGAAATAACAAAAAAGTTCACAACTCAATATTTGCCAATATTGACAAAACGAACAAAATGGTTCAAAGAATTTGAACCCATTAAAACTGGAGATTTAGTTCTCATTATAGATCCAAATAAGACAAGGAAAGCTTGGGAACGTGCAAGAGTACAGCAAGTGTACTACAGCAAAGACAATAACGGAAGAGTTGTTGATCTAATATTACCTGATGGCTCCATAAGAAAGAATAGAAGCGCCAAGCGCTTAGCCAAAATAGAAATAAAACCTATGTGACTAATCACATACGATTTGCTACCAAATGAATTAATATTATTATTAGCATTCAATGCTATTCTCTCGTGCAAGGCGAGAATTCTAATCATTTCTCTTTTTCTCTTCTCATTTACAGACATTGAAATAATGGGGAAGAAATCTGTTGCTAAATTACCATCACCTTACTATATCCTTCGAGTCGATAGAATACCAACAAACGTGACGTTTTATCAACTTCTATCAAGAATCGCACCATATTCTCGGTTTATAATTGGAGTTGCAAGAACTGCCGATTATCGTAATAAACGATTAGGAAGCACGATATATTTTTATTGCACATCACTCATCGACGCTAGATTTATAACACAAACTGATATTCGCTTTGTTGAAGATGGCAGAGACGCTCAATATGGTCTAATAATGGACTCTGTGCTTGGACGTGCATCATTAAGTCATTTAAGTATGGAAGATAGATTCCACCAGACTCCAGTCACAGTACATGTCAAAGGTTTAGAGAGACAATTTGGTCCAGCCGGCTCAACAACGTATTTGATGCAGATGTTGCCACAATATGAAATCGGTGGAGTTATAACGTCATTTAGAATAAATTTTGATGTACGACGTCAATCAACACGTGAAGATGCTTTTATTACATTCCTATATCAACGAGATGGTCGATCAGTTGGTGGAGAATTTGAGCCAATTGAGCATATCTATAGAGGACGCAATATTTCATGTATGTTGAGTGATAACGTTCCAATGATGGTTGGATTACCTGAAGCATATAATTTGACAAATGGCCTTTGTGAATGGAACTTAAACGCTGAAAATATTAATCAGCTAATTATACGTCGTAGATCTCCAGCTGTGCAAGACAGTAATCGTGAGAGCAACAATAAAACGACAAATCAATCATTAAATGTGACACAAAAATCATGTCGCCAAGTATTATCGTCAATTATTCAACGTCCAGTAGTTCAACAACAAGCAACTCGAAAGCTTGTTCCATTAGTTGCGTCTATTATCGTTCGTCCACATCAACCTTCAACAACGACAGTTAATCCATCAGCATCAACAAAATCGACAAATCCATCCACATTAGCTTCATCAAATCCGTCTACATCGAAAGCTCCTATTCCTGCAAGAGGAAAGGATGCTAAAAGTCCACCCATAAATAATTGGTTAAAGGCAAAGTCAAAGACATTTAAGCAGAATGATAAAGTCTCGACTAAGGCGGTACAGAGCAAAAATAAAGTTTCCAAACAAAAGAAAGTGGAACTAATGTTAAATTCGTCAGAAGAGGAAATTATAATGGTAACAAAGAAGAAGGATGAGAACATAACACAACGTGCAACGAGATCATCAAGAAATAGAGCAACAGAATCGTCAGCAGCACCTCCAGAATCAGAAGATGAAGGACGTCTGATTATTAATGAGATAGTAAACTTATCAGATGATGAAGAAGAACAGAAAAAGGATGTCTAATTATCCATTCGGCGCGGTGGGAGGATGTCGTTAAGCCAAACGACAGTTTCTATATTTTATAAATTCATTAAAACAATTCATGAATTTCATTTACATTGTTAGCTTAATAATTTCATACCGAATAATGCCACCGTATTATTTTACATCATTTTATTTGTTATGTTATAAGCTTTAATTTGGTATATAATTGAAAGCATTTGGGCAATATGTTTACAAGAAACATATTGATTTATGAGACGCTTCACGTCAAATTTATTCTTTATTTGTAACGGTTTTTTGAGATTTAAATACTAAAACCGTACAAATTCCTTTTTTGAACGGAATGCGTTCAACATTTTTGAATTAGTTCAAATTAATACGTCGCGGGGAGAAGTCGCATATTCGGACAAATTTGTTGAAAATTTTTACCATCTTTTCCCATCTTTTCCCATCATTTTTTCATCACTATTTTAATTAAATAAAGAAGTCGATTAGCAAGTAATCGCATTGTGAAATATTAATAAACGAAAAGTGGATTTTTAGATACAATTTGAACGTTACTTTTCACTCGTCGACAGTCAACCTAGTCACACTTACTAGTTTCAATTTAGTAACGCCTTGTAGTTTTAACCTACTCGCACCTAGTAGTGACAATCTAGTCGAACTGGTTGTGTCAACCTGGTCGCACCCAGTAGTTTCAACTTAGTAGTTTCACCTGATCGTGTTAAGCAGATCATAGTTTGAGCAACACTGAATCAAAATAATCAACAGTACAAACTGCATTTCATTTCCTCACTTCATTTTTTTTCGCAAACTTAGTATCTACTTCTTAATTAAGCCAAATTTATTACGATAATTGACCCACTAATATCCAATGAAGCGCACGTGAGATACAGCATAGCATTAATTTCGAGAGAATGTTATTGTGACGCTAGAAATTTCATTGAACAAGAAGAAAATATTTTCACCGATTGGCTCATTACTTCCACGACGCACAAACAATAAAATTACTATTGTTATTATTAATAATATTTTCAACTTTAACTAATCTTCTTTTGACTGTTTTTCCATTGAATGAATGCTTTTCTTCACTTTATTATGCTGTAATCATCTTTCCGTCTATTTTCGATGACCTTATTTTAACGAATAACAATTTGACTCTCAAATTATCTCCGGATTTCACTTGCTTCTTGCTGTTGACCATGATTTTAGCTTCTCTTGTGACTTTTTTTTTGGTAATTCAAGATAATTTTAAAGTTTTGTTATCATGGAGGTGTAATTTTTATGTTTTTGGAGAAATTTTCTGTTTTTATGGCATATCCATTGACTTGTTATTGTCTATCACAAGTCATTATAACTAATCTGATCTCTAAATTGTTATCATTTGTTGAAAAATGAATTATTTTAATCTCTTCATTGATCAGGTCTTAAGTGTGATGATTTTATGGATACAACTATTGTGTTGAGTTTATGGGCAGTCAATACATTTGTGAATATATAAATCTCAACTTCAAATAGTTTGAATTTTCTAGAAAATCAACTTCTACTTTCGATTATCAAGCTTTTGTTGTTAAAATTTGAGATTGTTTGAAAATAAGACAGAAATTGTTGTCCGGAACAGTCAAACTATAATTAGTCTGGTTAGAAATATCTAGTCAAGCTGTAAAGTTGAGAGTATTGAGCGAATTCTTGTCAAGTCTAGTTTGTAATGATTGAAAGATCGAATTCTGATGTAATCAAACAAAAAACAATCTAGAACTTCCACAAAGACTTTAATGGATTTGAAATTTAATTGTTCATAGTTTTCTTAAATAAATTGCCCTTTAATAAGCATTTTATAACAAAACTTAATAAATTAAATTAAATTTCTTTGAGGATTGATCAGAAAATTGAAAACTTATTTGAAATAAATGTTTTAAAAAGAAATTTTCAAAATCAAATTTAAATTTGTTTACAAACAAAAAACTTGATTTAAAATGTTTATTCAATAAACAAAAATCGAATTCAATTAATTTCAAATCATCCATCAAACAGTTATTTGGTTTTCACTGAATTTACATGAAGAACTTATTATTTTTCGTTAAATTAAGCATTCTCTACAATCGACAAAAATTTAAAGAAAATAAATGCCCAACATAAATCTAACGGAAAGCCCAAAATGTTAATTTCAATTTGGTAAATTCATTGTTGCTTCTAGTAAGCTTAAATTTTCATGGTCCAAGTCTCTTTCAGATCTTCTTAAAAACTTTAAAATTTATCTAATGAACATTAAATGATTGTAATATGACACTTGACAAGGATGATTAATGCACTTAGTTCTGGTTCTTTTTATTGTGTGATTGTTTGCTTTTATGCTGCATTATTTTGAAGTTGTAAGCATTTTAACATGGTTCTATATACTATGTTGTGCTATGATTTTATTAAACTTATGAATAAAGCTTAAATTGAGAATTCTCGTCTTATTAAAATTGATTTGTGTATTTTTCGCGCGAAAATAAATGCTAATGAATTAAATTTGATTTATTTTGAATCATTTCAAAATTATGTTGCAAATCACAGTACAAAAATTTACACATTTTATTAGAATCTCTTGAATTTCGACAATCTGACCATCAAGACACAACAATTCCATCCACAGACACCCCATTAATCCATCTTAAACTCCTTAAATATTTGATTCAAATTTCATCTCTATGCCACATGTAGCTTATTATAAATTATATCAATTTGACATAAATTAAAAATATATTCACTCACTGATCAGTTCTTCCACATTCCATAGGTGCAAACAAGAATATTCCGATAATAACTTGAAACAATTCATTTAATCTCATGATGTTCTTGTCTTTATATTTATATTTTTTTTTTATATTGTATATTCCTCTTCTTATTCTTATCCCGAAAACAAAAGAATCTTATTTTTTTCTCGTGTTCCTTTTTAATGTTTTTTTTTATTCTCTTTCACTTAGAATTGGAATTTTAATCTTTTTCAGAATTCACTTTCAATTTATCAACTTAGAAGGGCGAAAAACCTGCTTTTAGCCTCTTTTATCTCTCATCAGCGACTTATACGCTGCAACTTGCTGTAACCAAATGTTTTGAGTGAGTTTGAGATTTTTAGTTTTATATCAAATCATAAGAAATGCTTACCAACGAATGTTGAAGAGACACAAAACAATTTCTTTCTGTGTGTAGTCTTTTGAATGCGGCAGTAGAAAATGTAGCAACGGAGAAGAGAGTGAGAAGAAAGAAAAGACAGACCACAAGCATGAAAACGAAACTGATACTGTACATTTTGACTTATTTTTTACAGGAAAACCCTATAAATGAAGAAAATTTGCATTCATTAAGCAGCTATTAGACCAAATCGATGTTTATTGGTGGAAGAAGCAACAATATTGTAAGAACTATATTTTATTCATGCATTATGAAGTTGTCGGTAGATATTAAGTACATAAATTGCCGTTATTGAAGCTTCAGCTTCGAAATATTTTAGTTGCGATGATGCTTAGCTAGGGTTAGAGCAGTGAATTCCAAACTATGTGTCGCGACACACTAGTGTGTTGCAAAAAATATCGGAAAATCTCACAAACTGTATGCGGTGTACGGATTTGATCATAGCTTACCATCAAGGTGTGCAACCGACCAAAAAATTTTGGAAGACACTGGGTTAGAGGGATTGAGACCTTGCTCTGATGACTTCTTCACGACATGCTATCATCATTGTGAATTTAAATGATGAGCAAATTATGAAGATTTATGACTTAAACAATTAATGTCATTAAGAGATCGATCCAACAATCCAAACTCCAAGCAAAGTAACAAGATCAAATCTTGTAACCAAAGTCCAAAAAGTCAACAAAGCAGCAAGAAAGTTGCAACAAGACATTTTGTGGTATCAAATTTTTATTCTATTATCTCTGCGAGTTCCGCAAAATTAATATTCATGATTCACAATTGTGTAACATGAAAGAAATAACTATTATGATATACTTAGTCATAACATAATTGTGATGCCTGAGAGCACATTTCAACACATGATAAGAAATCCAACATTATCTCAACCATTAACAGTTCAATAACCATTAACAGCTAATCTTTTGTTTAATTTCATAAGGATTAATAATCATTATTTGGGCACGAAAGAAACTTTCACAATAAAAATAAAGGAAGGGAAAAAACAGCAGTTTCATGTCGAACGCTAAACCATCAATTCCGATATGTTCGCAAAATTCCTAAAAATCATTAACATGAACATTTTCGATATATGTGAAAAACTTTCAATTTCACCCATGTGTGTAGCTTGAGTGCATTATTGAATTGAAGGCGGAAAATTTATTGATTCATGAAACGCAAAAAAAAATCAGTTCTTTTATTAACATCTACTTAGTTTCATGATATGCTATGTCATAAGGAATTACAGACCAATGGGCAAATATTGGGATGATTTTTTAGGTTATGATTCTATTAAACAACAGATATTTATTGTTTTAAGTGAAAGAATTTGAAGTTTGTCTAGTGAAGAGTCAATCTATGACAGATCGAGCCAGCACTGATTTGAATTGAATTTAGTAAAGGTTCAAAACTTGTTTCTTACTAAACTGATGTCCGACTGTCTTGTTTAACAAATTAAAACTTTCATAAGATTTCAATAAGCGAAGAACTTGTCCAATAAGATTAAGTATGATCAAAAATCAGTTGATCAGTTCCATACCATTACATAAGATCATAAAAAACCTAACAATATTTCTCCAAAGATCGTCATTAAGTTTACTTTAAATGTACACAAAAAAAAACAATACTTTCAGCAACTATCAATTGCTTATCATCAATCAGAATTCACAATTAACTTATCATCTAGATACCTGAACAACACAAACATTTTCAGGCAGTAATTGGCAGTCACAATCTTTATGTTAATGATCACTTCCTCATGAAACTACCAAACGTGCCTTAAAAAGTTTCTTGTTATTTCTTATGGATGTGATTGTTGGAACGAGTAGCTACTGCCACCATGTTCATTCCCGAAATCAATTGATGAGTCTGATGAGATATCAGGATGGACATGCTTATAATGATGATGAAGATGTTCATGTGAAATTTCTTCCTTATAAATTGGCTTTGGTTTCTTGATTTCATATTCATGATGATCTTCTTTATGAATCTCGACTGGCTTATGATGGATTTCTTTGTGAACCTCAACTGGCTTATGATGATATTCCTTGTGAACCTCAACGGGCTTATGATGATATTCTTTATGGATTTCGATTGGCTTATGAATTTCTCTAATGATCGGCTTCACTTCCTCTTTGATGATTGTTTGCTTATGATGGACATGAAGTGGCTTAATTAATGTATGAGTGTGCTTTTCCTTCTTTAATTTCACTGGTACATGGATTACGATTTTCCTATGACGGCCACTTTGGCATAAGATTCACGTACAGATGGAATAGAAGAATGAGGCAAAATGTCAATTATTAAATTGCAAATTGATTTTAATGTGTAATTTTAAACTCACGCTTCTGTCTCAGATATTATTATACATAATATAACTAACAGTGAGATCAACTGGAACAAAATTAATCATTATTTTGTAGATATTGTAAGAAATATATATTAGAAGTTTATATTCTGAGAAATGATGGAGAATTGATTGTGATTTCTATGAATTTTATTGGAACTTTAAATGACTAATTTGGCGTGATTTATTTAAAATGGATTTCAAACTCTTAAACACTTTTAAGTAAAGTTTAAATTTAACATATTGAAGGTTTTAAAGTTTTTTTTTTTTTGGTTTTTTGATTTTTTTTTTGTTTAAATTTTAAAATAACTTTTAACAAATCAAACTAAGACATTTTTACATTTTCAGCAAGTCAAAAAAATCATAAACTATCCACGTTAAACCACAACATTATCTCCTCCTGTATCATTCACTACATAACTTTAATATCACCACATAATCCACTGCAATTTAAACCTTACCGTTAATTTTAATTCCATATTTCCTTTGAAATAATTCAAATAACAAAATTTAATGAAAAATAAACACTAAAACTCAATAAAACTTAAACAATGTTAATAAGCTGAAAGTTGGATGATTTGTAATTGCATTTTCGGAACTGCACAGCCTTTTATGAGAAATCAACAAATAAAATGCATTCGCGCTCATCTTCAATAACCATTCTACTAAGTATGTGTGAGTCTTCACCCCCTCTTGATGATAGACTAAGTACTTGTAATTAGCTAAAAGCGTGAGTAAAAATACAAACATGAAATTTGTGTGATGGATTTTTTTTTGAGGCAATTTTTTTGTGTGACTTTAAAATGTTTTGTTTGGCTTTGAGAAAAAAAAACTAGTATAGAAGCTACTGTTACAGATGTGAACGGGCGAGCTAAGCGCATTTTCCTCGTATAGATTAGTAAAAATGAATTAAAAACCAACATCCAGTAGCATTTAAGTAATGTCCGGAACTTAATAGCATGATCCAAGTTGGAAATAGGTCAACCCTGGAACTGAAAAACATGACCCAGTTGTAATTTAGACATGTCAAGATTTAAAAACCAACATCCAGGAGCATTTAAGTCATGTCTGGAACTCAATGGAATGATCCAATTAGATATGAGTCATGTCCGGAACAAAAAACTAGGATCATGTTGGATATAAAAAACATGATGAGATTCAATAATTAACGGTTTTTTGAAATTTAAATTCATTGGCTAATCCAATATCAATTATGTGCACCACTGAAAACAGAAAAGTTAATTTACAGAATAAACTAAGAGAAATTTTTAAAAACAATAAATAACTTACAAACCTACGAATTAGCAGCTATCTAATGCAAAAAACCAGAAATCTTCAAATGCTTCCAGTTAAGAGTTTTGTGGTACCCAGCCAGCCAAATTGAGCCTATAAGCGCATTGTTTCTTAAGGAAAAATGCGTTAAAAATAAACAGATAGATTTTTAAGAGGCTGAAAAGTGATCACTTTGAATATCTGAATCTGCTGTAAGGGATTCATCCATCTATCTTCCAAATTTCTCTCATGAAAGATTAAAATTTCAAATTTTTCCCATCAAATTGTCACAATTAGCACGCACTATTTTCTTCTCATTTCTCATTTCAAGTGCATTATGTGAATGCATGCAAAAACATAAACAATTGCACAATAGTAAAGTGGCATCTCGAAAAATTACAATAAATTTTATAATAGACACGCTGAGAAATTGGAACAGAAAAAAAACATAAATAAGTTATCGAATCATATGCATACATTATGATCATCATAATTGCAGTTACATACGCACATTAAAGTTGCATTTTTGTAGTAGATGTGCAATTTAATTGTGGGGTTGAAGGCACACAATAACTGCATATACCTCACAATTTGGCATTTATTAAGTAACAAAAAATGTAAACATCAGTTATTAATTTGCTGTTAAAAAATCGAACATGAACAGTCAGTCGTTTTGTTAGCGTGCTTAATTTGCGTTTTACTGCTCTAAATTCATGCAAATATGGAATAACTAATTTTCTTCTTCACAAAACTTTATTATTTGTATCCATGAAGTAAGTCAAACAGACAATTCATGCAGAAAAAGTTTTAAAGAAAGGCATTGAAAGTGTTTTTAGGAATTTTAAATAAATTCATAATTTTATGCACATTTTAATGACCAAATGTCATGGCATTCAACTTCAAAACGTTATTACATTTTCGACGAGGAACCGTGAACCTTAAAATATGTTTTAAAGTATACAGAGGAGCCATGAACTTAAAAAATATATTTTAAAGATTAGAATGATGTTAATTAATATTTTCACGGATATTAAAAATCAATTAATTTGAACAAGAACATCGGAAGTGGTTGTAAGTTATCATATCATCACCTGCAACTGATGATGACTTGTGTGTCCAAAATATTTTAATAACAAGTTGGAAGTTTCTTTAAATTTTGATAAATTACTCTCTTCAAAAATGATTAATTGTTATTTGGAACCCTCCACAACATAATCTATTAACTAGCCACTGATGTAGATTTTCAGGAAAAAAATGTTAAGAATTATAGGCATCGTGTAGAGTAGAAGCATAAGATCAGTTTTTATTGATATGAATTTAAATGCTTTTGGTCAGTTTTTAGGGTATTTTTTGAATCTTAAAGATTCTGACGTACAAATAAGGTAGTACTGTACCTTGGATAGCTCTAGATACCGGTAACTTGTGGCAATTCCAAAGAAAGGGCAGAAACACTTAAATATGTCTTATCGAAGAACATGTTGGAACAGAATACATAAAGATATTGAATAAACATTGTTAAGACTTTGATACACTTCAGAGAGCTAATGCATTGTATGCTTAGTAAACCCTAGAACAGTCCTTTGGTAAATTAGTAATTTAAAGGACTAGATACTTGGTATTCTATGCCACACTAAAGATTTAAGAAAAAGAATAAAACACACTTAAATTGAGCAAGATGTGGAGCTTAGTTGCTTAGAGTTTGAGAAACACTGCCTAAGACTTACTTGCATGTTGCATTCAGAACTCCATCATTCATGTCATATTAACAATTATATCTCATTATAAAATTTGAATTAAAACCGACGAGGTTTAATATCAGGCTATACTCATTTTTGTTCCGACTTATATTATGGAGGAAATAAAGGATTATTATTATTATTATCAGAACTCCAATAAAATTCAGGAAATCGCTCAAATCTAGAAAAATAAAAGTTTCAAATATAAACTGCATTAAATTCCTAAATGATTAGGTCACCAGAATTCAGCTCCAAATTACCATAAATACAAATTTATTCAAGAAGCAACTTACCATCCTCATTCTCACAAAGTAATTTGCTTATCTCCAAAATACACAAATTCAAAAGAAGTCATCCACACTTTCATTCTCTCACCAATTCTGTACCTCAACATGAAAAATGTTTTACAAGCAATGCGACAAACCTTTAAAAAAAATTACCATACAAGATAAAATGTCTTGAGTGTGGTCATGAAAAATTTCTCAATTCTGAAAAACTAAAGATGACTAATTTAGAAAATATTTGTTTTCATTTTAAAAAAGTTGTTTTATTCATCGTTTTACAAAATATAAAAGTAGCTTCTATGATAAGAAAGAAATGTCGCTTATTTATAGTACGGATTAAGATTAATATCTAAAATTGAGAATTTTTGTCAGTCATCAAATTTCGTTGTTTTTATTTGGATTTGAAGAGTTTTTGATTGATTTTTGAGAATCTTTTTACCTTTAAATAGCATTTAAGTTGTATTTATGTTGGAATTGGAAACCATAAAGGCTCAAGAGTTTAAGTTGATATGTTTTGAGCTAAATCTTGACCTTTAACTAGAGTTTGACCTTTAAACTCTCTTCCAATCTCTTAACTACGTTCTGAAGATCAACATGGACTTTGCCTTAATGCTACGCCTTTACACTGCACTGAAGATACTCAAAATAAAATTTGAAAAATCTCAAAAACCTTTCAACCTATCCTATAATTCATTAAAATCTACTAATCCTATTTACTTTGCTTCTTCCTCAATATCATCAAACACCATTAGAGGTACCTGTGTGGAACTAGTCGTGCTACTCTCAGTCGTTTGTGCTACAACTTGCATACTCTCATCAGCTCTCTTTTCAGCTAAATTTGGTGATACTTGAACAGCAACTGGACACATACATGGAACAAATTTGACACTATTTTGAGGTGCAATTGGTGTGATTGATGTTGGAATGAATTGATAAGTGACTGGATCTGCTGAATATTGTTGGAAGTTTTGTTCATTGTTGATTAATCGTCCTGAGAATTGATTTGCTGATCCATCATCGTATCTGTAGTGATATTGCTGATTATTGTAGTACGGAAATCCACCATAATTTGTATTTTGTTGTGGCAATTGCCTCTGAATTGACTGACCATAATCGCTTCGAGAAAATGCACCGTAATCGACTCTACCGAATGATTGTGGAATTGGTTGTGAACCAGAAAATTGAGGTGATTGTGTTGTAGATGTTGTGGTTGTTGGCATCGGTGTTGTTGTTGTCGTAGACGTTGTTGTTGTCGTAGACGTTGTTGAAGTTGTAGACGGAGTTGTTGAAATTTGAGTGGTTTCTAATTCTTGAGGATTTTGTGTATTTGGTGCTTGATGCTGTGATAATGACTGGACAGATGATGAAAATGGGTATGAACTTCTTTGTGACTGTTGATTTCTTACTTGATATGTTGTAATTGGAGCTAATGGTTGTGGAAATGCGACTGGATGATAGGCAAATGCTCGAATGTATGAGACTGGATATTGCCGGAGGTTTGGTGGAAGTGGTGTGGATGGGTTGAGTGGAAGTTGAATTGATTCTCTAGATTTATAAAAATAAAATAAAATTAAGTCACCAGCTATAAGTTTATAATTTTTTCATGCTCACCTATTATCTCGTCCCCACCAAAAAGCATCGCATATGCTTAAAAATCCGATAAGAAACTGGAAAGAAAAAATAATTCATGTTTTTAAAATAAATTAAATTTGCTGCTTTTATTTAACAAGAAATTCATGATTCTAATGAATTATTGATTTGAAGCGTGGAAAAAAATTAAATCGACAAAATATTATTTATTATTTTTTTAAATCCTCGTTGTTGAAGAAATAGAAAAGTTTTTATTTTTCGTGTTAAGAATTTTTAGCATGGTTTGGAGATATTAGTGAGCTAGACATGAACATTTTATAAATCTTTAGATCTGCTTTAGTGATGAAGTCGACCTACAAAATGGTTTAACAATTTCTTTTTATTTATTTGGTCCAAGATTCAACATTAAAAGGATTCCCAGTTGATATTACAGTGTTAATTGATTGCTTTCTAATTTGAATCTTAGTTCTGTCCAAAACTACTGTTTAAAACATTTTTGACTTTTAAATTTTTATTAATTTAATCTATTCTGTAGTTCATGAAATTGAATATTTTTGATTATTCTGGTTATTCTTAACATCCTGGAGTAATTGATTGAACTATCAGTTGATTTTTGAATTTTTAAACTTAATTTAAACTTAATCATCAAACGATCTGAATCCTCGAAAAAATTCTTCAAAATTTTAACTTTTATATCAATTTTAATTCATAATTTTCTAATATTTTTATTTTCCCTCATTTCAATTCCAAATAAACTTAAATTATATTTTCACTCTTATGCCATAAATCTTCCCACAATTTCACTCTCATTTTTTCGCAGAAAATCATAATTTTTCTAAATGATCGGATTTATGCTCCATGCAACTTAATCAAAGGAAATTGAACTTTTATTTTAATCAAAAGTCATTCCTTAGACAAACCATCGATTACGCAACCATCAGTCACTGTAGCTCACATGTTTGCTGTCTATTTAATTGACCAAAACGCTTCTCATTACACAAAGTGTTCGTTTTGGATTAAAAAAATAACGCATTTGATTCCGACACGAAAAAAAACTTTTTCTTATTGCCTTTTTCCTCTTTTTTTGCTTTCTTTCCATTTGTTTTTTATTTTTGCATAAATTTAAAACAGAAAACTTTTTTTAATTTAAATCAAATTATTCACACACCACAAATTTTAATCCAGACATTTGAATATTTATTTTTGGTTAATTAAAAGATGCACTAAATAATCCAATGAATAAGTCCCGATGCTGCTGCTTCTTCACTTAAATATTGACTGAATTCACACTTGTTAAATTTAGAAAATTTATGTTGCTAGAATCAGCTAGAACAATTTCTTTTATAGTCGAAAAGACATCTCTCCCCACCACATTTTATACTCATTGTTCTTATGGTGCATTAAGAGATATCCCTTTAACCATTTCCCTGCTTTCTTCACAGAGAAAATAAGAAATGATAGGAAAGTAAGTTGATCAACTGCAAGTTGGTTGGAGCGCATTGTTTGATTCTAATGTTGTTTGATTTGATGAGAATTTTAACATTTAATTGAACAACAATTTAAAATCTTAACCAAAACAAGAAGAAGAGCTGCTAAACTGACTATCAATTCTATAACTTTAAGAAATTTATTAAATCCTTTGTAAACTTGATAACATTCTAATCAAGACCATAAAACCAATTGCTGAATATTATAAACTTGGTTTTAACACAGCTGGTAAGATCACAGAATCAAGTTATACTTCTTCAACACTAGTTTAGATGAAGCCTAAGTTAGATCTTAGATAGTTTCATTTATGATTAGTTTTAACTATCAATCTTTAGTTTGATAGAATTAAAACATGGTGAGTAAAGTAAATTAACATCGGATTCGCTATTTTACAACTTAAACAAGATTGCAGAACTGAAAAAAACAATCAATGATCATCATAGTTGTACAAAATTAATCAATTCATGATTTTTCAGTTCCGTATTCTTGACATTTGATTCATGAAGAACAATTTGAATGGAGAAACCTTTTCTAGACAAAATGCACGCCTTTCTTCCTCAATTAAAGATCAAAAAGAGTGAAAGAATAAAAACAAAAATTCTATCAAGCTAGCCAAGTGGTTTCTTTTATTTCTCTCTTATTTTATTCTGTTAATTTATCACACGCATTGAGAACATTTTCGTTTTTATTTCTTTACATGAGATACAACGATACGAAGAGAATAGCACGCCTGAAATGCATTTTTTGATATTCTCAACAAAAAAAAATATTAATAACTTCATAAATGAAGAAATTCTTGTTGGTTTATGTCATATCAATCAATTTCGAACAGTATTTTAATTATAAATGTCATCGGAAAAATGGATCAGAACATTTCTATATTCTTTTAGAACATTTCAGACGTTAAAAAACATCTTCGGTTGATTTTGCTTTGAAGATTAAAATTTAAAGATTTTTTTTAAGGGAGTTGAATAGAAGCGGAAAGTGTTTATCGTATGGGAGGATAAAAGTCATGGTTGGTTGTGGAATCTTGATAAGAATTAAAATTTTTAAGACCATAAAGAATTTTAATTTTGAAACTTTGTTATTTTTTCTGGAATGATAAATTGAGTTTTTGAACTGTGGACTGTGGTGCCGAAAGTTCATGTTTGTGGTTGGGTTTTGAATTATATTCTTGATTGTTGTGGTCTTAAATGAGTAAATTAATCAATAATCAGAAATTTTGAAGCAAAAATAGCTCAAAAATCTGAAAATCTTACCTTTTTCTACTAAAGACTATCCAAAACTTAACCAAGAACTAACCTTGCGTGCAAATAATTGATTCCTAGCTTTTCTAAAATTTCATTTCCGCTTAGCACACACTACTGATCACCAAATATCAAAAAAATTTCACATTTTTAATGAAAATGTCACTTTTATGTATTCTATCACATCACATTGAAGAATTTGGAATCATGACATGTCAATTGATGTAACAAGTAAATTATAGAGTACGAACCATATACTTTTTATGTCAAATCATTGCCCTTCGGCATCTTGTTTGATTCTTTCTTTTATGTTATATAAAAATGAAAATGTCTTAATCATGATATCAACATAAGAATTACCTGATGATGATGATGATTTTATGCTTTTGTTGTTTTAGAGTCAACATAAATTTGTTCTACAACATTAGTTCGAGTGAATGGAAATTTTTTCGTTTTGAAGAAGCAAACATTTTGAGCATAGAAATGTTGATTTTATTTGATTATCGATGAATGAACTGGAGAAATTGATTGACAAAGATTTGATGAATTTTATTAGCTATGGCTTGTGTGTGGCTTCTTCGTGGACTGTTTAGAGGTGGTCTTACTATCAGGAATCAAATTCAAGAACTATGGCCCTAGTCTTAGATATCAAATTTCGATTCTAAAGTAGGTTCTAAGTTGTCTTAGAAACTGGATTCTAAAGTCTGAATCTCCGAAAAGAAGTTGATTAGTCAAGATTTCACGAGTAAGTTCTTGTAAAATATTGGTTAAAAAATAAACAAAAACAATCTCAAACACACACTCGACTAAAACCTTTGAATTTCGTTTTCATTTCACGCATTGAAATCGTTCATTTCTCCCATCGCGATTTATTGAACTTCATAAACTCATTTATCATCCCTCAAAATTAATCAAACTACCAAGGAAAGATCTTAGCATCTTAATTGGTGCTTTGACAGGACACATGAGTATCAATAGTTTTCTTTTTAAACTGAATTTGTCTAACAGTAAAATTTGCAGGTTTTGTAAGGTAAATGAGGAAACAATCATTCATATTCTTTGTAAATGCAGAGCATTACGAGTACAACGTGTCAAGCATTTTGATGAGGACTACTTGAATGATGAGGATATAAATAAGCAGCATTATCAGGACATTATTGGCTTCATTAAGGACATCGGAATTCTAACATAGGGGACTTGGGATGGTACAACAGATCATCGATCGCAGTGCCGCTTTTGCTATTAGCAAAACCCTACATTACATTCTATTCTTCTATTCTATCCCTCAAAATTAGTAAATTGATAGCTTCTATTTTTTAAATCGACTCCTTCACACAATACAAATACAGCTTCTTCTTAAAAGAAACTAATGATTTCAAGAGAAATGATGTTTTTGGAAGCATAACAAATGAATTTGAGAGCAACGTGGTGCAAACACAATCAAATAAAAGATCATTTAGAATCAATCAGTAATGTGAATGAAATTATATTTGGTAATGATTCCTTGTTGTGATTCTTTTGAGATTTAAGATTGAATTTTGCGGATTTTGAATTCAAGAAATTGTAAACTCATTGGAATACATGAGGGAAGGACGGTGTTAAGTTATTACAGTCAAAGGTTCAAATCCTAAGAACATGAAAATTTAATTAATAAAACTGAAATCAAAACATGTGTTTACGATTGATCAATTAGATTTTTCAAGATATATAGATAAGCTCATACAAAAATATCACTGTTTTTAACGGACAAAATTTTGAATTTTCTGTAAACACTAACACTATGAAAGAAAATTTTCAATATTTGTTTTGCAAAATTTTCTACTTTCTGTTATGTTTTGTTGGTACAGGAATATTGCAAATGCTTTACTATTAATTAAAGTAACTGACTAAAGTCGAATAGTTATGCATTTATCGGTATTTAAATGAAAAATTGAAAATCATAAATTTAAAATTTTTTTTGTTTGTATTAGCATACAAAAAATAGTATGGTCGAGTATGGTCAAGTGTACTCTGTATGAGCTCATCTATATATCTTGAGATTTTTTTAAACTTCATAACTTTTTAAAATTCAATTCCTTTTTTGATAAATTTTTAATTTACCAATTTTACCAAAACATCAAAAATCACCTAAGGGACTATCCACAAATCTCCAGAATCTCAACCAATTCTATTACCCCACAGGTGGGGAATCAAATTGAATTTGAGTAGATTAATGAATTTTCATGCTGACTGATTAAATTCTCATTGGTCCGAAAAACAAATTCATTGTTGCCTTAATCCAACACTTTCGGGTGGCGCTGAATTTTTCATTTGTTTAAGAATAAAAAAGCAATTTTATGCATTGATGACAACGTTTTTGAATTATTTATAGTCATGGCAGATGAGTTTCTACTGTTTTCTTTGTGACCGTGGCTTCTTTTTCTAATTGTGCATGGCACGCAACCATTCTAACACATCATTACTGTTGCAGTTCATTCTTTGAAATTACATTTCATCATTTTTCGATTTTTATCTATTTTGGAACTTTAGAAAGCAAAGAATGAAGGCTGAAAAATTAAGTAATTCAGTTAGCCCGAGAAGCAGTTCTTTAGATTTAACTTAGTTCTTACTTTAGATTCGATTTGATTCTAAATTAGTTGAAGTATTTTGTTTAAGATTTCACTTAAATTCTTGAATCTAACTTAAACGAAGCATTCATCTTATGATTTACAATAAATACTTCAAGCTAGCCTATATGAAGTACTTTAGTCAAGTCAAGACATCGTGATATGCTGCTCGGCATCCAAAAAACACATCAAACGTGAAAGAACTTTCATCATCACGCTAATTCTAAACAAGAATGAAAGTTATTTTGCCTTTTAGCAACTTCATCGTTATAGAATTGTTATTAAAATCTATTTCAAAGAAAATCCCAAAGAAAGAAGCCTCTAATTAACTTGCAATGGGAAAATTATAGGTTTTTGTGATTCTTTATTTTCTTCTTGCCTTTATTTTATCAACACAGTTTATTCATTAGCTTCTTGTTTGTAGACAAAAAAAAAAGGCTAATGAACTCTTTTGGATGATTAAAGAAATGAAGAATTCCTGTGGATTTTAATTCACAATGGATAGTATTTACAGAACAATACGCATTTAATTCTTGGATATAGCTTGTTAAGCTTGTAATTTGAACTTGATATATTGAGGAGAGTGAAAAAGAATTTGTAGTGAGAATATTGAGACAATAAGATTAAGATAAGAGAAAAGAAATAAGATTCGAACCCTCGACCTTAGAATCACATTTTCTTTCTTGCCGTACAACCTCTCAAACCCAAAACCTCTATAAATAAACACAATTCCATGTGTTGCAAAAATAGTAAACAAATCAACTTTAAAATTCACAATTCCTTGAATATTTAATTCACTAAGCATTTAAAATGGCATCTGATGATGATGGTAAGCTCCCAACCATTTATCTCATGACATCCATTAATTAATTCACCTTACAGATCTTCCAGAATTGATAAACGAAGATAATGCAGACATTTCTGATGATTCCGACGAAGAGAAATGGCAAGAAATTAAAGACGATAGGGATGAGGAAGTGCCAACGACATGTCTGTTCTGTGATTCACAGTTTTCATCAATAGAAAAAGCAATTCCTCATTTGGATCAAGTCCATCAGTTTGATTTGAGAAGTTTAAAAGCAAAATATTCAATGGATTTCTACAGCTACATTCGAGTATGAATTTAATGCATTTTAGATCTCCTGGATGTCTCTAAAATAAGTTATATTCTCAATTTCAGCTGGTGAACTTTATTAGATCCAACAAAATTATGAATCCTAAGGATTTAGTGTCAACAGACAGTTCTCCATTATGGCTGGATGAAAAATACATGAAACCAGCGGCAGATTATGAGTCATGGCTGTCATACGACTTTGATGAGCTTGAAATAAGTGAAGCAACTTCACAAACCGACAAAGTCATTAAAGATTTACGAGATGAGCTGAAAATTAAAGATCAGATGCTGCAACAAGCACTAGAAGACATGACATTAATGAAGGAAAGCTACAAACGATTAATGGGAAAAGAAGAATCGACATCAAGTACACAAAAGAAGAAGAATCAAGGAAGTGGAGTCGCAAGTGTAAGTCTCGAATCAGACAGTTCCTATTTCGAGTCTTATTCCCACTTTTCCATCCATCACTCAATGCTCAGCGATACAGTCAGGACAGAAAGTTATCGTGATGCAATTTTAAAGAATTCCGAGGCATTTAAAGACAAGGATGTGCTTGATATTGGCTGTGGAACGAGCATTTTGTCACTTTTTGCTAGTCAGTCAGGCGCTAAGCATGTCTATGCTGTAGATCAGTCAGATATTATTTATCATGCGATGGAAATTGCACAAATTAACAATTTTAATAATGTAAAGTTCCTTAAAGGACGTCTCGAGGACATAGAAATGCCATTTGAGAAAGTTGACATCATTATTTCTGAATGGATGGGCTACTTCCTATTCTTTGAAGGCATGCTGGACAGTATCATTTATGGACGAAATAATTATCTGAAGGAAGGTGGACTGATCTTGCCAAATAGATGCAATGTCAGGTATGTGTGGCTGTAAACAACTATAAATCATGAATCCTAATTTGATCATTAATTCTAGCATCGTTGGTTATGGATGTGAAGACAGATACAACAATTTCATCAAGTTCTTCGATAATGTTTATGGCTACAACATGAAATGCATCCTTAAAGACATCCTTCGAGAAGCTCACGTCGAAAAATGCCACGATGAATTTGTGCTGACCAAACCCAACATAATTTGTGAATTGGACATCAACACATGCGACTTAAGCTATTCAAACTTCACTTACGATTTCTCACTGGATGTCACAAAAGATTCCAAAATGACATCAATCGTTGGATATTTCGATACATTCTTTGATTTGCCTCAGGAAAAAGTTTCATTCTCAACATCGCCTGCTGCAACTCCAACTCATTGGCAGCAAGCCGTATTTTATTTGGACGAACCTGTAGATGTGAAAGTTGGAGATGTTGTGACTGGAAAGTTCATTTGTCAAAGAGATAGGAAAGATTTGAGGTCATTGAATGTGGAAATTAGAGTATTTGGGAAGGTCTTCAAGTATGATTTGAATTAAGGTTTGAGTATGGCATGTTGCATACAAGTTTTACGTACAATATTTGAGTTACGTTCAAGTTTTACTTCAGCAATAATTTTGTGTACAAGTTTTGCATGCAAAATTTACGTAAAAGTCAAAAGTTACGTAAACTTGTACGTAATTCCTCAAAAGTCCCAATCCATGTCCTTAAACAATCCCCAATAAAAAGGATATTTTCGTCTAATTTAGAATTTTCTTTTTATTCACAAAATCATAAATTGCATGAGACATGTTAATCAGTAATGGATTAATTAATGTATATTTATTATTATACCGAATGAATTTTAAACGTTCACAGAGGATATCCATCAAAAAATGAGAATATAGAGAAGTTACTTAAATACGACAGTATCAAGCATAGCGCCTAAACACTGAACAATATTGTTGGACATAAGTGTATCAACTTTCTCCTCTAAGTGCCTCTTTGGATCCTGCTTACCTACATTCTTAATCGCCAATTGTTCGGGTGTCATTTTCTCTTCCTCTTCTAATGCCTTATTGTAATTTTTAGCGAGATCCAGCATTTCACTGACTGTGCCTTCATTAATGCTACAATGATCTTCATAATTAGCGAGTGTAAGTCCATCCATCCAAGATTTCTTGTGCAAATTAAGGAGCATCTTTTGTTCCAATTCATTCTTTCTATAATTGATGCTTATTGAGTAATAATGACGATTAAGTCCATGAATAAGTGCCTGTACAGATGGCTTCTGTAAATGTCCCAAATTTGATGTCGTTTGTCTTGGCTCTTGTCCGAGCACTAACATGTTTGGATTAATTAGACGGAAAGCATCAATTACGACTTTGCCTTTAACTGATTGAATTGGATCGACGACAACAGCAACAGCACGTTCACTTAATGCTTCAAATGATTGTTGAGTATTGATATCGACGCCTGACAACCAGCATCCAAAACCAGGATGTGAATGATACCATCCAACGACCATTTCAGGTCTTCCAGTCTGTTTAAGCATATCCAACATTTTAGCTTGGAAAACTGGATCAACAGCTTCGACTGATACGCCAGTTCCGGTTTGTGGCATTGCAAATACATCAATAACTTGTACTGTATAGTCATCGACAAATTCTCCTAACATAAGACCCATAACTTCCATTGGAACTCCTGCACGTCCGTGTTTTAACATTTTCAATAAAGCTAATGATGAAATATAAACTTGTTCTGCTGTGTCTACGACAGGAGCATCAGTCGGTGGTGGTGGTTGTGATAAACCTGGTAAGCCTTAAAAGAAGGATATGAAATTTGTTGTTAGACTTGGACATTTTATGCAAATCATTTTCATTGTTCCAATAACCTCATTACTGGTTCTTTTTGTGCATTTATTAAGGCTTAATCTAGAGATTCTTTTTTGTTTGACTAGATAATCTACTAGAATTCACATTAAGCAGTTAGACTAGCTATGGAACCAATGAAAATTGCACAAACTTAACACAAAATTTAACTTACGTCCCAAACTCAATAAACGATCCATTTTTCACAGATTTTTCCTTCTTTTAACAGTAATTATGATGAAATTTCAATTGATTATGATGCAGCACTTGGTCAAGTTATAGATTCGATAATTTCTGATCCTGTCTACAGCACTTAAACTAGTTAAATTCACTAAAGTTTACTTCCGATGCAATGATTCGACAGAAAAATGTGTTTTGAAATAATCGGTTATAATTTTGAATGTTTTGAAAAAACAGATTAAGTTTGCCGGTTTAAATTATTTTTGACCGTTATATTTTTCTGTGCAGCATGAGAACGACCTTCCTGGACAATGTAATGAGTCACCGATTAACATTGGGTAATATCACAAGTCCCCCAAAGAATCATAACAAATAGATTTCTTTTCAGTATTAATTTTTGTGTGATTTAAGTGTCAAATTCCTATCAAACTAGCTTATTCTTCCTTTAAACTTTACCAAGTACTGCTCACTTATTAAGACTGCACTATAAAGACACCACAAAATCAACAGAAACAAAAATTTCACCATAAAAAAGCCAAACCCATAAAAAAACATCCAGCATAAAATTCGTGATTCATGCTTCCGCCAAGAGCAATAGCCGTAAAAGATGCGTCGATAGTAAAGATAGCAGTAGAGCCGCTATCATCCGACTATCAACCGCAATTAATAGAATTCGATCAAAAACAACCACTTGCTAGTATTATAAGTGATTTATGCACAAACTGGAATATACCAGATTGTGAGAATTACTCATTAAAGTTCACCGAGCAAACGAATGCTGGGTTTGTGACTGAAAAGAACAGAACGGATGTTAAGAATGGATCTGTATTAAAAATAAGCTTTAGCGCAACCAAAACTGTCAATGATTATCTTGAAATATTCCGTGCTGGAATATTAATCGAACAGACAAAATGCCTACAAAGTCTCTCAAATCTCTCATCTGACTTGACATTCGCGATTGAGTTCATCAATAAATCGGGTCTCGATTTACTCATCAAAATGATTGAGGATGAAAAGTGTTCAGGCGAGCGACTCGAGTTTGCATTAAAGTCATTTGTCGAGTTAATGGATCATGGAACTGTTTCATGGGGTATACTTAGTGATGTATTCATAAATCGTAATATTGCATTCATAAATCCATCGCCAACGTTTCTCTCACATCATATCATTGAATCATCCTTATCAATACTCGAGAATATTGTTCAAAATAGTCCAAGACGAACACTCGTTGAGCATTCAGTTACATTTGAGACATTATTAAAGCTGTTGCGGGAACCATCGCCAATCATACAACAGAATACAATTGCACTTGTTAATGCTCTGTTTATGCAAATGAATGAAGGAAAACGTCGTGTAATTGCAAGCACATTCAGCACAAAGCAATATCGGAGTGTAATTCTTGATAGTTGTGTAATAAATGCTCAAAATCGGACTGAAATGGCTCATCAATTAAGTGTCTTACAGTCACTAACGCTTGGAATGTTGGAACCACGTATGAATGATAGAAATGTTGATGCTGATGCTCAGGAGAAAATTAAGGAATTGAGAAGAATTGCATTTGAAAGTGAAGGAATTGATCATGATGCATCATCGACTGGACCAAGACGTCAAGGTCAACAGACACAGCAACATTATAAGAAACTTGGATTTAAGTATGATGTTAATCCAGTCCAAGACTTTGCAGAATCGTCACTACTTGCACTTGATTGTATGATTTATTTCGCCAGGAACCAGACACAACATTACACAAAAGTTGTGCATGAAAACAGTTGTCGATTGGATGAATATGAATGTCCATTTGGAAGAACCAGCATTGAGCTTGTCAAAATCCTTTGTGACATTTTGAGAATCGGTGAAGATCTTCCAGCGGGCGAGGATCAGTTCCATCCACTGTTCTTCACACATGACCATCCATTCGAAGAATTCTTTTGTGTCTGCATTGTGGCTTTAAATCGTACATGGAAAGACATGCGAGCAACAAATGAAGATTTCTCAAAAGTCTTTGATGTTGTCCGTGAACAAATTGTTCGGTCACTTGCTACACGTCCACGTGATTTTGAGAACTTTAAGATACGCATGGCTGAATTGTCATATGCGAAAATTACTGAAATGAGACAACAGGAGAGAACAGCACGTGAAGAATGCGAATCGACAGCATCAGCAATTGTGTCACTCAAAGAGAAACTTCGTCCGGAAATTATGTCACTAATTCGTGAACAGAGGCTTGGATTTCTCGTCGAAGGAACCAGATTCAGTAAATTTACTCGTGGAAGTCGATCAAAAGATAAGTTCTGGTATGTCCGATTGTCACCAAATCATAAAGTTCTTCATTATGGCGATTGTGATGAGAAAGCAGTGCCAACACTCGATGAATTAAAGAGTGAAGTTCGTGTAAATGACATGAAGCAATTGCTTGTGAATAAAGAATGTCCACATGTGAAGGAAATTAAGGCAAATAGAAGCGGTAAACCGACAACTTTATTCTCAATTGCATTTGACATTGGCGGAGAACAAAAGACGCTTGACTTTGTTGCACCTGACGATATTACTTTTAATTATTGGATAGACGGTGAGTTTCTATGTTTGTTGATTAAAGGGCCGTTCACTTATGACGTCCAGGGGGGGGGGGGGGGGTGGTTCAGCAAGAAAAGAACAACAATTCCTGGAAATCCCTTATTCTTTTTTGAAAGATGACCGTTAATATCGGACGTCATAAGTGAACGACCCCTAATGTGATTTGGTGCTTTAAGAATAGATTGCATTTGAAGGATGTCTGATAACGTAGACTAAGCATTTAACTTTGTTGACTTGCATAACAATGAGTTGTTGTAGTTAGAATATGTAGGCAGGAAGTCGTTGTATAAACATTTTGCAGCTGAACTTCTTTTGCGCAACATTTATGCTTTTGTAAGACATACTTTAAGAAGTCATGTGTAACTTGATGATTGCACAGATGTTTGATTCTGTTATGTCCTGAATATTGAATAAATTGTTGATTTATGCGTAGTTTAAGGAAGCACAGATCAAACTCTTTGTAGCTTTAGATCTAATGCCTGTTTAACTGTTTAGGGGCGTTCACTTATGACGTCCAAAAGTAACGGTCATTATTCAAAAAAGAACAATGAATTTCTAGGAATTTCTATTGTTCTTTTCTTGCTGACCCCCCCCCCCCCCCCCCCCCCCCCCTCTTCCCCTCTTGGACGTCATAGTTGAACGACTCCTTCCCTTTACTCTACTCATCTCTAATCATTCTAGGAATTTCGTGTCTTTTGGAGAAAGAGATGATTAGCAAGCAGATGGATGAAGACTTTGAGACTCTCTTGTCAGTAGAAATCAAACTAAGATTGCTGGATACTGAAGGAGTTGATATTTCCAAAGATGCGCCTGAAATTCCACCGGAACCTGAGGTAAGTGTCTTAATTCCATAAAGCTCTGTTTAAGCCTTAACTCATTACATGACATCTCTTAATCTCTTACCTTTCATTTCCAGGACTATGAATTTAACTTTGAAGGCTAGAAAGTTGGGTGCCAACACGTGAATCTTTTGATGCCAAAGCAGTTTTAAAATTTTATTTTAATTTTTTAAGCCATTCTTAAATTTAGTCAAAAACCAAGACAATTGAGTCAAACAGGAAGTGACCATGCACAGCACTTTTTTACTTCCATAAATTTTATTTTATTGTATACGGCAAGTGGACAATTGAAGAGCATTGGAATTGTGAATGACAAGTATAATCAATTTGAGATTTTTTTCCGTCTATTTTAACCATTTTAAAGACTTCCATTTTTCTAGAAATTATGCTATAAGTAAGACATTATTTCCACTATTGACATGAAAAATTAATTATTTAGACTTTATGTAGAGTTTTTTCGTGCAATCAATGTCCGATTAATAAAATTATCAACTTTTTTTATTCAATAATAATTTTTGTTTTCTTTATAGTGTCAATTAAGCTGTAGATTAAGCATGAATGTGTAATTAAGATTTGATTGGAATTACTTTTTTGAAACAGTTGTTAAATTTTTGAATTTCGTAACCGTCGAAAATAATTTGAAAGTTTCAAAAATATAAAACTTTTATTTTCACGCTTTTAGATGAGTTAAACTTACTTCAAGAAATTTCAAGCTATAACTACTTAGCTTGCAGTCATTTTTGTCTAATCAGCTTACAATTTAGTGTTTTAATAAACGATAAATTCGAGAAATACCTTGAAATTTGTATCTTTCGTGTGGAATTTTACAATCATTTTTTACCTAATTGACATCGGATCAATTTGTTTGTTTTTAAAAAATTATTTTATTTACTTCTACCTTAATTAAGTATCTAGCTAATTCAATAAAAGTTTCAAGTGGTCGAACAATTGATTGTCATCAAGTATAACAACACTCAAGCAACAGAAGTGACTCAAAAGTGAGAAAAAACAAACCTTTATTTACATTCAACAAATTTCACGAGTTTTAAGTTTAGTTAAATATTTCAATAAAATGGACATTGACTCACCATTAAAACAGATCCTTGGAAGTCCTCTAAAGGTAATAAATCAAATTACATCAAAAAATCATTAGAACTGCCAATAAATAGCTTGAAAAATTAATAATTTCAGATTCCACAACAAAATCCAGCAGTTTTACATCCACTTCATCATCAATTAGCACCAAGCGGTCCACAAGAGGCAATAAATACAATCAAGATACAAAATTGTGTAGCAAGTGTTGCTCTTGGCTGTGAACTAAACCTACAGATGATAAATTATCGCACAAGAAACAGCGAATATAATCCACAAAGATTCCATGGTGTTGTTATGAGAATTCGTGAGCCTAGATGTACAGCACTGATATTTAGATCTGGTAAATTGGTTTGTACAGGTGCAAGAAATGAACATGATGCACATTTAGCAGCTAGAAAGTTCGCAAGAATCATCCAGAAGTTAGGACATGAAGTAAAATTTATAGATTTTAAGGTACAGAACTTAGTAGCAACTGTCGATCTCCGATTTCCGATACGTCTGGAAAATCTCAATCAAATGCATGGACAATTCTCATCCTACGAGCCTGAACTATTTCCTGGACTAATTTATCGAATGGTACGGCCTCGAGTCGTGCTGCTCATTTTCGTTAATGGCAAAATTGTATTCACAGGTGCAAAATCAAATCAGCAGATTGCAGAAAGTCTCGAGAACATCTACCCAATTTTACAGAGCTTTCGAAAGAATTAAAATGTTATTATTAAGCCTTAATCTACTTAATTTAATGAAATAATAAAAAATTATTTTCACGTATGATAAGCATATAAAAAATATGAGAATATTTGCCTCTGTTGAGCTGTTTCGGCCCACACAAGAATTGCTTTTTCAACACCTACGCGAAGAGAAAGAATATGAAAAGCCAGTGATGCGAATCAAGCGAAAAATTAAAACATTTTTGCACATTTTTTTCCGTATGTTTTTATTTATTTTAATTAATCATAATGAGAATCGCATTAAGTAATTAATTTCGAGCTGAATTTTGATCGTGTTGGTGTTTTGTGGGCTTTGCGAAGTATTTTAATAGAAAATGATAACTTGCTCGTTAAAGGTTGGATGATTAGATGATCCAGGACAATTTATGAGGATTGAGCTGCTAGATTCTCAAGATCTGGGGCATCAACCCGAGTGGACAAAGTACTAGTTAAAAGCTTGCCGTTGACTTGCCTGTTCATGACGAGTAAGTATCCATTGACGTGCCTTTGCAACTAGACTTAGGGACGACTAATGACATATTTTGCGCTTTCCATTTAACTGGACATAGGAATCGCACACATGTCTAGTTAATGTCCAGTTACAAAAAAATCGAAATAAAATAAATCTTTTTCTCCATTTTTTTTCTTTTGTAAAATTTTATTATTGTATTAGTGTAATTAATTAATTAAAGTACACTAACACTTATGAAAAATCTCTAGTAAAAATTGAGTCTCGAACATTTGCGCGTGAAACAATTATATTTACTTAAAAGTTTCATACAAATTTGGTGAGACCTTATATAAGTGATTTCTGCAAGCGCTTGTGAAGTATATGGTAAAAAAAGTAAGGAAAATTATGTTTGAGTTTCGAGCACTTGATTGATTAGCATGAATGTCCAGTTAAAGTCTAGTTCTTTATGTCGTAGAAATTTCGGCAAGTTAAAAGATTGTTAAATGATTGTCCAATAATAAACTTTAACTGGCTGTGTCCACCCTTGCAAGCTTCTTCGAATGAAGAAGCAAGTCAGCAAGATATCAATAAAGAGAAACAGATGAGGGAGTCACTGCTGAATAGGACAAGCACTGAATCTTAAGAATCGGAATAGAAACTTCACGAACTATGAAATCCAATCCTAATAAAGACAATCCAGAACTTTCTATTCCAACGAAAATATCAAATATAATCGAACACCCACAACAAATTGACCTCAATCAACAGACATCAAATGACATAACTCATTATCTTTACAGCAACACAATTTATATATCCTATTAAAAGCTGAAAATGCCAAAAATAGAATTCCCACATAAACAATAAATTTTAATCTGATAACAACAAAAGGATGTGAAAATTGTGTTGGTTGAATGAACTTGTTCTATGAATTATGACCATATCCATGCAGCTTATGTCACACAACGAGGATCGAAAAACAATACAGAATGAAATAAAATTGACTAATTTATTTTAGATAACAAAAGATAAAACAAATCATATCAAGTTCTTCCTTCCTTCCTATCCTGTTGTGCACTTCCTGCACATTTTTATTTGTTTTGCTTTGCTCGTCATGAAAGCGATTAAGTTGGAGGAAAAAATGATTTAATATTTTTTATCTTTTTGCATCCACGAGTTTGCTTTCGAGGTCATTTTTAAAAGAAACTCTTGTTGCTAGCTGTACTTCTATTAAACTGACCAAAATATCAATTAAACAAGCTTAAAGTGAGCTATTAAAGATTCATTGTTGGGCGTTCAGGTCAACTGAGATTCATGGCCATGCTTAGATACTGCCTAAAGCTAGCTGTGACAAAATTCTTTAATTTTCCAATCTTAGCGACACCCGAGTGACAAAATGAAGTTGTTAAGGTCTCGCTACAGATTTGTGCTTTTGGAAAAAAGATTGGGAACTTCTTAAGCAACTACTTAGCTTCAAAAAATGAGTTTTGCAACTCGGGACATCAAGAAATAATTGATTAATACGTCTGTAGCTAGGTAGATTAGATCGAATGAATTTTTTTCTTGCATATTTCAATTCATTGAAGATTTTTCATTTACTTTCTGATACTGAATGTCTTGCTTGCTATCAAAAGATTTTCTTTTCCTTTGACTTTGTGCTTTATAGAAAATATTCATTCAAAGACTTATTTCTCTGCAAGTGCGTTTCTCAGAAACGAAGTATTCATTGAAGTTTTCTTTTTCTTTTGATATCCTTTCGTCTTTGATATTTTTTTTGAAATTAAAATTGAATGAGCATCTTCAGATAGTCTAGAAAACTTTACCGGTGAGTCTTTTGTAAACAAACTTTAATTAAGCTGTTAGAAGTGAATGAAATTGCTTTAAATTAGTATTGAGGTAATTCAAAAATTTTCTGTATTAGTTTTTCTAAGAATTTTGAAATCTAGATTTAAAGATTTGAATGTTTTGAAGATTTGGCGGTTTACTTGATTCCTAAAGAGCTATGTTTTAATAGATTAGTAGCTACTTTACATCTAAAAAACGTTTCTATACCTAGCAGTAATTTCCTAGTAATTTACTGGATAACTTTCCATTTGCTACTTTGCTATTCACTAGTCAAAATCCAAGTTCAAATCATCGCCAAAGACCTTCATTTTCACTTGCTAATTGACTGGTCAATTCGCTTACAATTTAACTAGTAACCCTAACAGACAAAGAGCATGCTCTTGATTAAGAGTACGGTTGAGAATACGCTTATTTAACATCCTCTCAAGATCCCAGTAAAGAGCATGTTCAATAGCGGACTCAATCAATACAATACCAACCAGTATGGGTTTTTTTACCAACCAGTATGGGTTTTTTTTTATAAAATGTAATTGTAATTCCTCCAAGGTTTTTTGCGCTCCTTCAAACAGTTTAAGTACTGTTTTAGGGAGCTTTTTCCATGGACGAAGGAAAATAATGAATAAATTCAAATAAATTCAAATCTCCCTAAATCATCCTCTAATTATAAATAACTTGCATGCAAGTTTTTACTTCATAATCTTTTATGTACTCTCAAGAGCATGATCAGAAGAGGATATATAAAGCATGATCACTTACATCCTCATGAGATTATGTTAAAAATTTTCTTGCTATATACTTCACAAGCGCTAGCAGAAATCACTATTATAAGTAATAATTTGGACTTTCTATAGTTTAAATATGTCTTTTAGCCATTTAAAAGTTATTTAATTTCAGAAGGCATTAGACAAGATGAACAGTTATCAGGACAAACTACAACACAGTGTACTCGGGTTCGAATCACGGCAATAACCAAAAAAGAATAAAAATATCAAATTCTCAAAAACATGATCAAGAGCATAATCACAAGCTCATAAATTTTTTAAATAGTAAAATCAAAACATGATCAGCAGAACATGTTCTTGATCATGTTCTCAAGTTTAACTTGCATAAAAAATTTGCAAGTAGAAAAGCGTATTCTTGAGAGCGTGATTTCTGTGGTACCCTGCTGCGATCTCCATTTGTATGGGAGAGTACGCTAATTTAGCGTCATCAAATTAAAATAATGATTTTTAAAAATCATGCTCAGATCGTGCTCTTTGTCTGTTAGGGTAATTTACTAGCAAATTTTTACAAAAATTAAATGAATATAACCGTTGATTTCCAAAAAAAAATAAAAGACTTAATTTAATTAAGTCGAATACTAATGAACGCCCATGACTCGCACACAAGCCTGAGGAAGATAAATAATTAATTGAAAGTCATATACAAATTTGGATCGAGCTTATAAAGGTGATTTCTGCGCGCTCTTGTGAAGGATATGGCAAATGCCAAATTAAGTACAAAATTTTTTATGATGCAAAAAATTCTTTATTCGATGATTTTTCGTAAGATTCGAACTTAAGCAGATTTGATCAAACATTTTACATTTTAATTTGCTAGTAATTTGCTAGTAAATAGCAAATGTAATTTATTAACAGTAAGTTGTTTTAATAATAACTAGTAAATTGCAAGTTGTAGAATAGAAAGACTATCAATTTGCTAGTTAGTCTCGCTAGGGTATTTTAAATTTATTTCAAAACTTATGACTTTTAGAATCCACAATGATTCAGAATCGAAAAAAATGTTCAAAAATTCAAAAATTTCATGTTAATTAAACTTTGTCTTTTAAATGCCAGATAAAAGATCTTTCCTTTGTGCATATCCTTTAAAAATATCTCGTTCCTATTTGCTGTCTAACTCCAGAAATCATTAATTTAATCTCACCCAAAATTTGTTTACAATTTGAGTATGAAAAAAGAAATGTGATTTTTTCTACTTTAAGTTGTTATTTGGATGTCTTGAAAGCAGTTGCTAGCTAATTTAAGCTTAGCTCTACATATTAAAACAACCAACTCAATAGAAATCTGCTTATTAAGCCTTAAAAATGGAATTGAAATCTGAGTATTTTTACAAAACTTAAACTATTCATAAGTTAAAAAGTCTTCCAAAGACCTCTCTGAAACCTATATAAATCAATTAAATAAGCTTTAATCTATCTCCCATATTACTGAGGACATGCCGTTTGATGCCGTTTTCGAGATATTTGCGATCAAAGTTTACATAAAATTTCATACAAAGTTTGATCATGCACAATATTTTTTGATAAACTTTTACAAACTTTTGATAAAAAAACATGTTTATCCTTTATATTAAGGACTGATTTTTTGAGCAATGAACGAAAATATTATGTAGAAGATGCTAAAAGAATCAAATCAAAAGAAATCAACAAAAACTTTCAATTTTCTAATGTGTCAGAAAAATATTGTGCACAAGGAATTTTTGAACATTTTTTCCGAATCTGAATCATTGTGGAATCTAGAGTATAGTATCTAGTACTTCTAAATAGCGACAACAGTGAGGTATGAAATTATGAAGTTTAACAAACATTGTTTTTTAAAGATCAATCATTTTATAATTGTGGTTTAATTAAACATACCAAAAGGTTTTATTAATAATAATAATAATAATAATAATAATAATTGTAATAAAACGTCTTTACTCTTTGAAGTTTGTAAACAGACTGCATATTTATATTAAAAGGGGCAAACAACTATTTTACAAATAAATACAATTTAAATTACAAATGAAGGTTATGACAAATCTATTCTACAAGTAAGTCATATTTTAAATTTGATCTTCCTTCATCAATCAAACTATATTTAAAAACAAGTCCAAAGGCTTACAAACCTTAAACAAAAATAAACACCATATATGAAAATTCAAGCTCCCTTCGGGTCCACTCAAAATAAAAAGGAAACGATTCTATATTTTTCAATTTCATACAATCCAAAAATAGCACATAATGCATGACAATTTCAGTAATGGGGTGTAATTTTAAAATTCAAAAGAAGACGATGTGAACCACTTTTATGTAATTTATCACTTGCTCTGTAGCAAAAAATAAGATATTTTGTGTAAAAATAGAATCAGTAATTTAAATATATTGTTGCTTGTCGACTGAATTTATCGCCATCCGACAATCCCAGCAATTGAGCAGTGAAAATGTAAGAGCATCCACATTAATATGGATTCTTATAAATTTCAATATCACGACAAAGAATTGTGACATAAACATCAACAGTAAGAAAGAAAACCCGCTTCCGGGTCATAGCTATTGCCAAAAACGATAACATCAACATTATATCTTGTAAAAAC